CCCCCCGCAGGACCATCCTGGCCTTGGGCTCCAGCCGCAGAGAACTCTGCACGAGTCATGGTAGTGCTTTCCTCACGAGGCCTTGGATAGCTGCTGCCAGCTTACTCCTGTCACATACGCAAGTGACTCCCTCAGAATACGGGCAATGCCATCAGGACTAGCGTCCTACAGAGCTGAGCCCCAGACCCACTGTTTCACAAACAGGCACCGCGTGTCAGTGGGTTTAGTGACACAAGCCAGCACTGGACATGAATGTCACAGAGTGACTTCCAATAAACAGCTGGACAGAATCTGTGCTCATCATCAGGGCACACAGAGGGTGATTATTTAACTGTTTGGGGATCATTTGGGGAAGAGGCAGAGAGGGATGCTCAATGACTCCATTATTAGGGTGTCTGAGACAACAGCTTCAGGGTGTGTTCCCCGAAAGGATCCAGTGTCTGTGCCAAGGGCCCAGGGTCATTCAGGCGCCCCAAGCATCAGGGCTAAAAACGTTGCCGCTTTTCCATGGAGAAAGTCCAGTTACTTTGAACTCTGCAACTACTTTAGCATCAATCTGTAGCAACCTCTCACTGTGAGTTCATACAGGCAGATTTTCTCGCCAGGGGCTCTTACGTTCTGCCAGTGAGCTTTTCTGCGCTGATACGGTGACGAAGACACGTAAGTTGGAGCAAGAGGAGAGAGATGATTGACCAATGAAAGGAGGATGGATGGAGCGATGGAAGGAAAAAGGATGAAGGGGTACGCAGGATGGACACGAGCTGGCTGGCTTCACACGCGACTCTGTCCTCCCAGGGCGCCTCCCCAGTCTCTGCCCAAAGCCGACTGACAATCCGTGCCATGACGCGACACCACCGTGAAAACATGCTTCTCCTTCTCTCATCATCCAGGCCGAAGGCTCCACGGGCACTCCTCTCTCCTCCTCACCCTGGATCTGTGGTGAGCATGCAGCCTTCAGGGTAAAACCATGACTCTGAGTAGAAGGGCCACCCTGGGAGGAGCCACTCCCTCCTGCCACACCAACCCTTGCTCAAGTATTTGCCACAGAAAATCCAAACGGCATACTTCCATACTCCTGTGTTGAAGACACCCGTCCACGTAACGCCTTTTGCCTTTCAGGAGTAGGAACACAGGACACAAAAGTGCAGAAATCATCCTTTCTCAGTGAGAAGAAAACGCAACCGATCTTCTGAAATACTTCCCACTTTATCAAAAATTTCCATATTGTCATCCTCCAAGAAGCTCGATAAAACTTAAAGTTTCATAAGAAATTGAAGTTATGTCTTTCGTTACCAAAAAAAAAAAAAAAAAAAAAAAAAAAAAAAAAAAAAAAAAAAAAGATTTGCAGACAAGTTCTGAACCTAAAACGAAAAGCCAAGTAAGGCAAAACTACCAATACATAGCTGAGCAATACTGAGCAGAGACCTTTCTCACCTTCCCCAAAGGAAGCATCCTCTTATTACCATCGTAGCCCAGAGTTTCAGGTGAACCCCCAAGTCCTTGAAAAGAAGCCAAGCAAATGCAGGGCTGAAGGAGACACTGCAGGCCCCCATCTTTCCGACCCAGCCTCGCACCATACACTCAGGCCCTACGAGGGTCTGTGCAGAGCCACTGGCCCTGTGATGCCTGGCTGGGAAGGGGGAGCCTGGACCACCAAGACATCTCAAGGTGACAGGATGCTCCCTAGGAGCGAGACTCAGGCCACAGAGCCAGGCTGGGATCAGAGTAAACAGACCAGCCTAATGGGATGGTTTCCATTCCCAGCATTAGGACTTTGATTCTTCATCTGAAGCTGGAACGAATGCTTATGTAACAAAGCAATCATTCCCATGTTTGGAATT